CCAGTAACTGGTTACATTTCCTTTGTTTTATTATTATTATTGCAAGAGTTAGGGCTGAGATGAAAGTTTCCCACACCTGCACTGAGGGACACACCTTGTCTAAACCCATAGTGAAATAAATATATAAACACATGCCTGTATTTGAGCTAATAGACCCTTTAGGAAAAGAAAAAGAAAAAAAAAACAGCAACAACGCACTGTATTCCTGTGTTGTCAAGAAAACAAACTGTAATTCACTAATATTTGAAAGAGTTAAAAAAGGAAAACAGTAGCACAAACATGGATGAGATGTTGAAGTGCCCTGGATCACTGGAGGTAGCTTGATTCTCTGGGGATTAACACATATAGAAATAGCAGTGACTTCACAAAGGTGAATACATGTTAATTTCTTGGCACAGAGTAAGAGGAACAGATGGTCAGTCAGAGAGGAAAAAAATGTCTTTAAAAACCACAGAGCTCTTTCACAGATGAGGCAGAAGAGTCAGAGGAGGCCCACTGTGAAGGGGTAATGTGCTCTGTGCTCTGATGAAGTTTTATTGGCTCTGATGGCTTTAGTGAAGGTCCTGTCACCTACAGCTGAGACAGGCCTAAAGGAGACCCTGCTCTCTGTCAGGTCTGTGGAATGCTGGATGCTTGCTAGAATGTGCACTATATAGTATTTGAGAGTGATGAGTGTTTTTATTTGGGAAAAGCACCCTGGTGATTGCCAGGCTGAATTACTATGAATACCTAATTATGAAGCGCTCTGTGTGTGTGTGTGTGTGTGTGTGTGTGTGTGTGTGTGTGTGTTGGAGAGAAGTTGATAACAACAGGGGTTCTGGATAAAACCTAGTTGCCTGGGTTACTGTAATGCTACCAATAATCGATTGTACTATTTGAGACAGGGAATTTCATCTCAACCTCAGTTTCCTGTTCTATAGCTTGGGTATAACAATTGTAGCAACCCCATTGGTTTGTTGTGAGCTTTAAGTGAGTTCAAAGCACTCAAGATAATGATTAGCATGGAGAAAGTATCCAGTAAGCATTAGCTACTATTGCTATGCACGTGTCATATTGAAAACATTCATGCAAAGATCGAGGCCAGGGCTGAGCAATGGATTATATATATAGTGCAAGTAAAAGTAACTGCATTTTTTGCTTTGCAGTGCTATTTGTTTAAAGTAGATGACAGGAGCCAGGTATGCCTCAGTGAGTCTACTCACTCTGGCTTCTGAACAGAGCTTTGTCTGGAGAGATCAGTCTTACCAAATGATCCCAGCTGCTCCAATTCTGGGGTCTTAAGGACCTTGGCTTTCTCAATAGGTGCATAGCCTTTAACTTTGGAGAAGAGAGTCCAGGGTGGCTGGAATGTGTGGGGTTGTTGCTTATGGAAATGAATTAAAATACAGAGTCCTAAAGAAAAAAAAAATCCACTGTTAGGTCTGGTGAAGTGGCTCAAGTGCTAAGAGCACCTGCCCAGTGAACGTGAAGCCCTGAGTTCAAATCCCAGTGCCACAAAAAAAAAAAAAATCCCAAGCCCTGCCCCACCCCTGACCACCACACTATAGTCCATTTATACTTAAGTCACTGGCCTAGCAAATGATTTGTTTCACTGCTTAGTGGAAAATAGACATAGCCTGGGAATTAGAAATTTTACTGTCCCCAAAAGCCAGCCTGTCAATCCCAAAGCTTCACCTGGGGTCTTACAAATCTAAATGGCCTCCAGTTGCATGATGGGGACTCCTACCCAGTTCTTCACACTCCATTGCCTCTGGGACATTGAATATCGGTACTCTTCTGGGCATTTGTGTGGGACAAGGTTGAGGTCCTATCTACTCAATGACTTAACAGTAATCAGAAACCAATGGCCTTAGGCAGAACAGCCTAATTCCTACTGGAACCACAAGGCACTAACTTATGTTTTCAGAGCACAGGTGTCAGTTGTAAAGGAGAATGCATTTTTTTATGGGTACCTAGAGTGACAATTCTACCACATGGTCAAGTTGGCAAGTCCAACTCATGAGGATGGGAAGAATATGTGGGCATCTTTGTTTCCATGAGTCACTTGTTCATTCAATAAATTCATGTTACGCAATGCTGCCTCCTGAGTGCTGTGCTGGGGCAGATGAGAGATGAACCGATATGATCCTGCCCTGAAGGACTGTCGGGTCCAGTATAATAATAAGCCAAAAGCTACAGCCCAAGTCCAAGGAATACAGTGATGTGTTCCACCAGAGAAGGGCACAGGCTGGGTGTGGTGGTACATGTCTGTAATTCCAGCTGCTTGGGAGGCAGAGGAAGATCACAAGTTTGAGAGCAGTCCAGGCAAAGATTAGAGAGACCCTCTCTCAGAACAAAAAGTACAAAACCAAAAGGACTGGGGGTGTGGCTCAAGTGACAGAGCTCTTTCCTAGTGCAGGCAGAGCCTGGGTTCAGTCCTGTGGGGAAAAAGGAGGGGGAGAGAGAGAGAGAGATAGAGTTTAGAGGGGAGACTAAAAGAGGGATTTGAGTGGGAGCCCTGTGGAACTGGTGTGGCTTACATAACCATACCTGAAATATCCTGTATTTACCCTAGTAGCCAAAGGCCTTTTCTCTTCATCAAATCCCACTTAGATTTGTATGATCAGAAGAGGCGCTAGTCTATTCTAAATTTGTAATTCTCAGAATTTGCTGGGGACAGACATGTGCTTATCTGGCTTCTGAAAACAGCTCAAAGAAAGGAGAAAATCGACCAAGTTTGGAGGTGACTTCTGGTCGGTTCCTGGAACCTCTGCCTTAGTATTTAAAGCAACATGTTCAACCAAGTTCTCTCTTTAGAAAAGGCCTTTGGGGATTTGAAAGCTTTTCTGGAAATAAATGCCTTTTAGGTTTAAGTGCTTTTCACCCAAGTGCTAGGAGGGGAATTTCACAGTGACAAGTCTTAGAACAGAGGCAATATTGTTCTGTTTCTTCTGAGGAAATGTCTGGGACCTACTCTCTCAAGTTCTGTTTGTTTCTGTCAACTTTCTGCTCGCCTGTTATTTTGATAAGGGACATGAAAGTGCATATACTTCCCTTCTGGTCATTTAAGTCTTAGCACTTGGGTCAGTTGTAGAAACACTTCTGTGCTACACAGTCTTCTAAACAACAGAGTCCACGCCCTGGCTCCAGGCTGGGGACTCAGTCAGATTCATGGAACATGGCATCACGTTTAGAGAGAGGAGCAAGAGGTCAGGGTCCACAAAACAGACCTGATGAAATTACTAACCCCGTGCAGGGAGTGGGGAGAGCAGAGCCCTCCCTACCAGTCTGGCAGCTCTTGCAAAGAGCACAGAGCTCATCCCACTCTGGTGCTAGTCACTGCGAGTGTTTACATGACTAATGGAGTGCGGGGGAGGGGAGTTGTAAGCAGAGCGCTCAGCCTGGCAGCTTGCATTCAGAGGGAAGCTGACATCCACACCAAGTCAAGACTTCCAGGGATGTGGCCGGGAAGCAGTCACATGCTGTAGCTTCCATGAGCACAGACATCAATCAGGCAGATGTTTGTCGACTGGAATGGGTAATCACTACTTTCTCTTTGCTTGAGTTTGTTTGTGAGCTTGTTTACCTTTGATAATTCCAGGTTGGCTTTCTGGGATGGACTTTGAGCAATGTTTTGAGGACTGGGATTGGGAAGGGGCGCCTGAGCCCCTGGGAGGTGTTTTTTAAAACTTTTTTTGCCTCTCTAATTGTAAAGGCAGCGCTCTCTTTCTCTTTCTCGTGCTCTCTCTCTCTGTCTCTTTCTTTCTCTCTCTCTCTTTCTCTCCCCTCTCTCTGTGCTTTACTGAGCTTCACCAACAGCAAAACTCTTATCCGTAGCAGAAAATCAAATTAGTAGGATTAATTGTGTCTATAAAAGGAGTACAATGTAAAATGTCCTAAAACCACTGGTTTAACTGCATGTCATAAGTAAGATTAGTAACAATTAAGAGGGCTTACATTGTTCAGATTTGATTTTGTCATAATCATCCCTTAAAGTAATAAAAAGCGTAGGTATCTTGAAAGGTCTGGAAGAAATTGTTTGGGGTAGAATTCATTCGTTTGGAATTGTTTGAGATCTGCTTGGTAATAGTTGGCTGGTTTTAATTTTACTGGACTTGGGTGACTGATGAAGTTAAATGTGAATGCCTGGGCCGGACAGTCATAGACTCAATAAACAGCAGCCTTTTCCACCTTGACTTTCTATACAGACCTCGTACAGATCTAAAAAGGAACCAGACTGAACTTCAAGTATGAAATGTAACTTTGATTTGTATCATTTGTAACTGTGGCTTTTAAAAAAGTGTAATCCCAAAAGAATGAGCCTAACCCTATAGTAATCTTAGGAATTTATTTTAAATAACCCTACAGATCGTCATAAAAAATATATTAAGAAAGAAAAGAGAGCATGCTGATTTAAATGTTTCTGCCAGATTTGTTGAGACTTGAAGCATGCGGGTCGCAATGTTATTGGGAAATACATGTAATACACTACTTAGCTGCTTGTTACTGTGAATGCCTCTCTCTATAGCTGTTTTTCTCTTTAAGCTGCATTTTTTGTATAATTTGAGAAAATGCTCATGCCTCCAAGCCGTTTCGAATAGAGATGTTTTCAAATGTTACATTGCTATGATACCATGATTTGCTGGCATAGTACCTTAGGTTTCTGGAAACAAGATACAAAACAAAATACAAAGAACGATCTCGAAGCCTGGCTCGGGGTTGTCTTTCAACTCAAAATGATTCTTTTCTTACAGTGGGGAAGTCATCGTCCTTTAGGCTTCATTTTATTTCTATTAATTAGACATGTAAAGTGTGACAGCTTAGATGTAGGAAACATGTACAGAAAGCATAGAGTCCAACCAGGTGCATTCTTTTAAAGAGAGAAGTGTCTGATGACAGTCAGCTGCTCATATGGACATTTCTCTGAACAATCAGAGACCATTGTAATGAGAGTCTGGGTTTTTACTAAGGAAACCCACACAACTGAAAATGTATAACAATTCTTCTCCATTTGTTTTCAGCGCCAAATCTTAAAGGCAGACCACGCAAAAAGAAACCATGCCCACAAAGAAGAGACTCATTCAGTGGAGCTAAGGATTCCAACAATAATTCCGATGGTAAAGCCGTTGCCAAGGTACAGTCATTCACTCCACAGTATTCATTTTGCTGCATCTTTTTATTATTCCTTTTTCTTTTCATCTTTTTGCTCTTGTATCTTGGTGGCTGTTTTCAATTAAAAAATCTGACTTTGGAATTCAAAGCTTTTGAAAGTCTATGCCATCTCTGTTTTTCCCCTACTCTCTGTGGCTGGGTGGGGGGGAGGAGTGGGGGAGGGGGGCCAAGCTTTCTGATGTCAACAGAAAGACTTCCCACCTCCCAGTTTGGCTTGTTGGGTAAAGGACAGATGATTAAGCACCCACGTCATTGAGGCTGAGATTTCATAGTCGGTGACACAATGACATAGTTTAATCTGCCCCTATCAAAAATAGACCAGCTGAGCCATCCTCTTTCTGAATGTGTTCATCTAAATATGTTTCAGAGATTTAACAGGATGAAATTAGAAGTGGCCAGAATTAACCTTTCTATGTACTTTTTATGTACTATTCAAAGTCATTTCTAATTTGCATTAGACTAAGAGATACACAGTGAAATATTTATAGGTATTCATAAATTCATCTATACACTTATATGTTTTTAATGATCTTTATTAATGCAGAATGAAAATTTCAATTGTAGACTACTTCTGGCCCATGTCCATTTTAGACTTGTGTGTTCTTTGGAATCTGTGAAGCACATACCTGAAGTATTTGGTACTGTGAAAAGTGAAGTGTCACTTCATACTCTTAGACTTATCTTTTTGACTTTTGTGAACTTGGGTCCAATTTCCACATTCTGGTTACTGAGTGTTTATGTGTAGATTTTGTTTCTGAGCCAAAGACAGCAGTAGTCCATTTAAGATCAGACTCAAAGACCAGATTTTAACTGATTACCAGATCCAATAACTAAACCTGTGAAAATGGGAGCATTTTGATTATTAGTGAATTCAGAAGATTGCAATGTAGTAAAAGAAATTAATTCAGTTCTGTGTTGACAATCTACTATTCATCTGCCATGTACTCCACCCTCTTCCCAGTGCAATCCTAGCTATTCAATTCTATAAATCATATCTTCAAGAATGATTGTTTCATCAAGAAGTTCTGAAGACTTTTTGGTTAGGACTTTTTCATACTTCCAAGATTCCAAATGGTTAAAAAGAACCCAGTGAGGAAAAATATGTATTTTTCATTTTATGGCTAAAAACAAATCTTACCTTTCCTTAAATTACTTCTATTCTGCTCATTTCACCTTCTGCAAGGGAGTACACATGGATACCACGTAGGACATTTTCCTGTGAATTGGACATCTCAGCCATGGAACCACCTACCTAGGACTTTAGTTTCCTTGGTCTTGAAGGATGTCTACAGGAACAGTTATATTCCCTGGGATGTAGTTTTATAAGTTCCTGCAAAATACTAAAGATGGAGCAAGAAAGTTTTAGGAAGGTAACATTCCACAGAGATTGTGCTGCCTGTGCTTATACTGGTGCTGGTCAATACCTCTCGGGTGGCATCTGTTTATTCCCACATATTCCATATCTGAGTCCAGCAGAATGAAGTTCCTTGTTATTTGGAGTCACTACCAACATATGTCTCTGGGGATTTTATAAACCTCATTCATCTGATCTGAAAAAAACACTACCAATGTTTCACTCGGGCTCATAAACCTGAGGAAACAGGGGCCTGCTCTACAGGTGGGCTGTGTCAGATGCCCACTGACTTAACCCCCTTAGGAGGGATGGAAGTTCAGGTTGAGTTTTCTAAGTGATCCCTTCACCACAACCACCCACCAGTGCTGCCATGTAGAATCTTCACAAGGAGTCAAATCATCCTTCTGTGTTCACATTCAGTAGAGAATGGATGTCATGCTGCAGTCAGTTCCTGAGGGCTGGTCTAACTGATTGGCTCGTTTTGGAGTCTCGGATTATAGTCCTGCTTTGGACACTTCCAGTTCTGTTGGCACCTGTCTGAAAAATCCTACAGTACAAACAAGCCATATCTGGGACCAGGACAGCCACTAAAAAGGCATTTGTGTCGTAAAGTTATCTTTTCCCATCAAATGATACAGAAGAGATTGTAAGCCTGTGGCTTTCCATCATTTCCTGAACTAGAACCATCATTTTAGGTTACAGTGAGCAGTTTGGCTTTAGCACCTGTGTGACTTTATTTATTCAAAAGTGTCTCAGACTATTTCTACTTATGGATAAATAGCAGCCTCCTGCAGCTTTACATAGCAAGACTCCTAGAGTGGGACCCACTGGGTTTGTCATATGTTCCTGACTTGTAATTTGCCTGTGACCATCAAAAGGTCACCCTCTTTCAATGAGAACAAACACCATGTTGTCCCAAGAAGAGGGATTTTCATGGCTTCCCAAAGACAGCAAAAGTTACATGGGGAGAAAACTACCTGCTCTCTGAAGATGTCATGAATGCATTCGGTTGAAATCCTAACGTTTTCCTAAAAGCGGTGGATCTGCAGGCCAAACTTGGTCATAGGATGATCTGTACTAGAGAAGTCTTCTTGGCCCATGTTTCTAGTGACAGACCTCTACTGATAGAAGGCAAATGATTTCTTGTACCTTAAAAGCATTTTCAAAGATCAGAAGTGGGTAACAGGTGGTTTACATACTAAAAGGAATGTAAAAAAAGGAAACTATGGCATACAATATGTTCTTTCATTTAAATCACAAATGTATTTTGATATTTCACAAATGTGTGATACTTTTATGATTTTCAGTATCTTTCATCTCATTTGGTCCTCTGAACTATTCCAGAACTTCTATCCTTCTTACTTTACCAAGGGAGAAACTGAGAATCACCTAGCAAGTTAGTGACCAAACCAAGATTAGAACTCTAGTTTGTTAATTGCTGGTTTAACATATCTGGTTGCCGCATTTGAAGGCTAGGTTATGTACCACTTGATCCCCTTGAAGGGGGTTCATTGAAAACATTAAATGTTGATTCTCTAATTAACACTTTCTCAATCACTTTGGAAAACCCAGAGCTCTTAGTAAACTCAATAGGTGTATAGTGTTCAGGTCAGGAAAAACAGATCTAGTAATTAGCTGTCACCATGAAAAGGTTGGGCTTCCTCAAGGGCAATGTGAAAACTTAGCTCCCATTTCCATTAGCACCAGTCCTCTAATCAGTAAATTAAAACACTGAGAATGTTTTGGGTAAATGTGAAAGGAGTGAGTTCCAGTCCCAGACATCTTCCCTCACTAGTCAAATGACAAGACATGTGATCTCACTGAGCTTCAGTCTCCTCCACTGTAAAATGCGGTAAACAGCTCCCTTGCACAATTCTTACAGACATTAAATTAGAGTATGTGAAGCCCACAGCACAGCATTTAACTCATTGTAGGCACTCAGTTGGTATCAGTTTCTTTCCTTTGGTTGGCACAATATATAAAAGAAGGAAAGAAGCACTTTTATAATTTAGAAAGCACCTTGTTTTGTCTTTTATGTCTCATTTGATAAGTCTAAGAGTAGTGTTCGTAATGGCTATTCATAAGATAGGCTTTTTAGTTGAAAGCTTGTTTTGACTACCAATTTAATATTTTTATTAAGAGTGTCAATAAGGCATAGTGCTTAAAACTTCAAGCCTAGAGTAAGGCTACCTGAATTCAATCCCAGAGTCACCATTTATGCGAATTTGTACACGATCTTATTCATTCTATCTGTACCTCACTTTGCACATTTCTAATATGACAATAATAATCTCCCTCATCAGGGTTGTGAGCATATGAAATAAAGTAATCAGTACCTAAATAGTGTTTTCAATAGAGTCTGACCACCTAGTAAGCCCGCAAGAAGGACTGGAAGGCAATACAGATTAAAACTGGAGTCATTTAATGATTTCAAGAAGCTACTAAATTATAAATTTCATCAGAACCTTAGATTTGAATATCTAAAATTTAGCAGTGAAAGACGACAGCATAAAATTTCACAGGGTATCACAAAATACTAAAGTATGAGACGATTGCAAGTGAAAAATTTTACATGGGAAAAAAATGCTTTAATCTTATTTCCACAACCCCTTAAAACTTAAAATCTTATCTGGAGACCCTGCTGAATGAGTTGTGCAGGAAGTTTTATTTTTCCAGAACCAGTCTAAAGATATTAAACTAGTGTGTTCATTTGAAAGAATACGCAATAAAGAAATCCTTCCAAAAGATGTGCTTCCCTTTAGTAAATAAGCAGTCTTTTATGTTCTTAATGCTTGCAAGGAGGATCTGCGGTAAAAGAAAAGGGGTGCAGAAGTCCGAGATGGAGAACACTGTAGAACCTGTGGGACATTTTTATTCATAGCATTTCCTTGGCACTTGCCCTCTTCCTGCCTGATGTTAGATATGGAGATGTAAAGAATATTGGAATGTACACATTCCCCATGGGTGCACTTGAACTCCAAGTCTGACCCTTTGTACTTCCCCCTTTTACAATTAAAATAGCTCAGCAACTTAGCATTATATTTAACAAGCATCAAAGGCCTCTTGTACAACATGGCAGCGAGGAGGGAACATTAGGTTAGCTGCTCTGTGTGCCCAGTTCCTTCTCTGCCTGTAGTGAGGAAGGAAGAACATCTGGAGCATTTACTTCCATTTCTTTCTTAATTATGGGGCTTCTAACTTACTTTTCTTGGGTTTTTAGCTGACCTCTACTCTTTCGTTTGAGGCAAGTGAACATCTATTATATTCTCAGAGCTGACTGGAAAGCGAGAAGTCCTCATTAAAGAGTGGGATCTTTGGTTTCCTACTGAGGGCATATGTGGGCATTACCCTCAGATGACAGACAGCAGAGACCTTGCTGGCATTCCAGGTATCAGATCTCTGGCATTGACATGGTTTTCCAGGTTGCTGGCAAGAGTACAAACAAAAGTAGTTTACTATGAAGACATACACTTGTCTTTTATTAACATAAAATGTGCTATATAGGACTATTTAAAAAACAAGGTGTATTCAAGGGCATTAACTAATATTGCCTCTCAAGAAAATAAAATACATTAAGAGCAAGGCAATGTTCCTATCAGATGCAAACACTACTTCTGGTTTGACATCAACATACTTGTAAGAAGTCTAAGAGAAGCTGACATTGTTGTTAAAGTATGGCCCAACTGTTTCTGTCAATAAAGTTTTATCGGGACATACCATTACATAGCACTCTCATGCTAAGAAGTTGCAAGGGACGATAGGCCCCAAAGCCTATGTTTTTTTACGATGTAGCCCTTTATAGAAAGCTGCCACCCCCTGGTCTAAGACAGTCCATATTCAGTGATGCCTCTAAAAGGCTGTCTCTGGGCAGGTATGACTGGCTGGTTCATCCTTCCCACTCTGTGGAAAACATCACTAGCCATGTCTTTATAAGACTTCCGGGGCTGGCCATGTTTTGATGTGGTGTATTTTCTATCTTCCAGGTGAAATGTGAAGCCAGGTCAGCTTTGACCAAGCCGAAGAATAACCATAACAACTGTAAAAAAGTCTCAAATGAAGAAAAACCAAAGCTGGCTATTGGTGAAGAGTGCAGGGCAGATGAGCAGGCCTTCTTGGTGGCACTTTATAAGTACATGAAAGAAAGGAAAACACCGATAGAACGAATACCCTATTTAGGTTTCAAACAGAGTAAGTATACTTGTTTTCATTTCTGAAATACCAGAATTGTTCAAATTCTTTGAATTGGAAAAAAAATTTGACTAGGGATTATGTTGAAATGCTAATCTGGGGAGGGTGTTCTCTGTTTATAAGAAATCTACAAATGTCCAAGCCAAGAATTTTTTCCCTGCCTTTTTCCGCTACATTGTTCTCTTCTGGGACAGTTGCAGTGAGATATTTATAGGCCTGAATCCACCGATTATGACTGGAAATAGACATGTTGAAAGTTTCTCATTTTCTGTTTTGTCAATCTTGAGTGTCTGTAACGCCTTTCTTGTGAGATAATAATATGACATAGCCTTATCTGGCACAGATGTTGCCGGTGAAAAGACAGCTTTTAAAAGAAAGACTTTTAAAGGTGGACAAAACAACCACAAAGAGAAAACACATTTCCTAAACCCAAATTTGTTAAAAGATAACAAAAATCTGACTTTGGAGGAAACAAGAAATATATCTATTTGAACAGAAGTCCCAATTTTGAATAACTTTGAGATTCTCATTAAAGTATCACTGAGTATAAGTAGAGCAAGGAACTCAGAGCTGAGCAGAATTCCATACAAAAAAAGAAGAAAGTCAGATCTTGCCCTGAGTTCACAACTGAATATATATTTTGCCTCTGTCTGGATTTACTGGTACATGTAGTGATGAGCCTCTGGCTTGAAACAGTATTTTCTCCAAACACATCTTCCTAGATTAAAACCATGTGTCATTTTGATGAAGAATGTCAAACCTGTATGTTTTACATAACAATTTACATACCTAATAGCAATTGGCAGTGATTGCAGGAGAACACTCTCAGCCATTATAAACTTATATAACTACGAATGATTACAATGTTTGTCTGAAAACTGGTTGCTTGAAATAGAAGTAAAATTAATGTACTATGAACAGCTTTGTTGCATTATGCATTGGTTCAGATTAAATCAAGGCCGAGGCAGGGCTCTTGATAGCTTTGAAATAGTGCAAGGTTCAATGAGGCTTTACGAACATGTTGTGTCAAAGAGCCTTTTTTTTTTTTTTTAATTTTCATTTTATTCAGTTCCCTTACCAAGGAATTACTTGAAGTTCCATTTCCCCCTCTTAGAAAAGAATCAAATCCATTGCAGTCACATTCCATGGTATTTGATACAAATGAACAAGGCTGCTGTCATTCAGGCATAGTTGTTTAACAGCATAAACAGATGCAAACCCTACAAAGAGAATCTGTTTGAAAAAATACATTTGCAACATCACATAGGCAAGTTATGGAACTCAGTGCCCTCATGACTCAATTCCTCTGTGAATGAATGTCTTCTTTCCCATAAATTTGCTATCTGGCATGTGAAGTGCTTGTTTTCTTATTTGTGGCCAGGCACACATGCTACTGAAATATGGCATGAGACTTTCATATAGTGTTGCCATCAGACAGTCTATAAAGAAGGTAATCATTAAAATGGCTGTTGTTTATTGATCATGGAGAGAGCTCATCTGAGAGAAGCTTTACATATTACCGTTGAGTCAATGGCTTCTTTCTAAGGACAGACCAACCTTAATTTTGAGTTCCCACACATTTTCCCAAGGTCAGTTTAATTTAGCTTCTCTTGCTCTGATGGCAACAGGAATAAAACCAAGTTGTTCTTTATCCTAAAAGTAGAGCTATCTTGTGCTTTCGGAACTGTTTCTTAAGAAATATTTTAAGTGGTAATAATAGCTCCTGTTGTTGGATGCTCTTTGGCAAATCATTTCCTAAGAATTTAGCTCTCTGGGGTATATTAGTATTTCTTTTTTCTCTTTCTCAGTGAAAAACAAAACAAGACAAAATGTTTTAATTGACATTTCTTGGAAATATGTTAATGCAATGCTTATCTAAATACTTATTGTCCCTCTAACAGTTAACCTTTGGACTATGTTTCAAGCTGCTCAAAAACTGGGAGGATATGAAACAGTAAGTGTTTAAGCAACTTAAATGAAATAATTTTGCAATCTAACTTTTCCCCTCTCTTTGGCCAAAATGGAGGACACACAGAAAACCAAACCACCATTGACTGCCTTTTCAAATGGCTCTACACTTTTGGGGGTTTATTAGGCTGCTTTTGGAAAACATCCCAATTAGTTCCAGGTTTGGCAAAATTGTAAACTTGTCGTAAAAACTACAAGTGGAAAACATATGTAACTCTCCCCTGTCAGGGAAATTAGTTGGGTCTGTAATTTTTTCCCATGTTGAGAAAGGGCTATTATTGTACAACAAGCCAAGATTGCATAAAAGAAATTTCCCTTGGCAGCATACCTGACATCTGTTCATGTCTAATATGGGAAATGTATTAAAGGCTTTCAAAAGTAATCAGGATTGGCCATTAAGGAATAGAATGCAGCAGAATCTCCTCTCATTCTAGGGCAAAGAAGCTTTATTAGACAAGGGTCAGTGCTGCATAAACAGGAAGTTATCAAACTTATTCAGAACAGGCCCTGATACTCTTTATCAGCTAATTCTAACTGACAGGAATGGGTTATTTTTAGCCCAAGGGAAAATTTGATGGCCATGGATTTTTACAGTGTGTATTCTGAACCAATAAAATGTTAGAGCAACAAACTAAGATTAAGATCTTGAAATAAGAAAAAAGAGCTGTATTAATATAGCACACAGAGATGACATCTGTAATAAAATCAATTGACATAGGAAGATGTCACTGGAAATATTTTCTCCTCCACACAATGATCAGATTAAGTTGTGTAGTTTCTTCTGCAATTGAGTAAGAAATTATTTTTTTCTTTCCTTAAGAAGTAATCTGGGATATCTCTGTACCATAGTAAAGTGACTGTAAGAGACACAAAGTCAAGAAAATGAAATTTATTTTAGCTCAAATGCAATAACCAGTGTTTCTTGTCAGATAAAGCATATTGTTCCATAAAGTAATATAATGGTTTGATGTCAGGGGCTTGGGTTGCAAAAAAGATGGCAAACGCTATGTAAGTTAGACAATCTGGTATTTACTGTAAAGATATCTGCTATGAATTCTGACTAAATATGCTTTGATGTGAGTATATGTGCATGTAGAATGTTTATTTAATATATAAAGTGTATATATGTGCTTATAAAGAAATATAATCCTTACAAGAACTATATATAAAATGTGTATTTCATAGGCATGAATGTACTTGAAATATTTGTTTTATTAAGTGCCTATGAAAAAATAAATACTACCATTTTTTCACTTGGTTGAGCTTGTTGATGGGACCAGAATATGGACTCTTTGTTGCTGAGCTAATTACAGCATTCATCCATGTGAAAAAGATGGTAACTTTGTCTCATAAGCATAGAGGTCAATCTCATAGCCTAGACGTTTAGTCTTAACTTTTAATGTTCAGAATAGGAATACACATTTTTTTGAACTGTAACTTCACATAGTTACATGATATTGCAGAATATTTTGAAATATCTTTTTAAACTCAGGAACTTTTTGTTATTCACTGATAGGAAGGGTGCTAGCAAATTTCACAGAATCAGTTTTTCCTGCTTTTGCATCTTCTGTATCTTTATAAAGATTTTTGTCCATGCACAGCAAGTTGGTATAGAATGTACAGAAGAAACTTCTCTGATAAGTCTCAGGACATTAGCAGTGTTTTGAACAAATAGTATTTATCATTTTGTTGAGTGAATGAATGAATGAATGACTATATAATTAGCAAAGGACCTTACCACATATTTGCTGAATACTATATGTGAATAAGATATGCATTAGCTATTGTGGGACAAGCGAAATATCTAGGCAAGTGGTTCTAATCCTTACATTGCTAACCATTCAGAAGAGATGGTCACTATGTTTATAAGACAAAGTGGCAAACAATGAGTGTCCTATAGAAGTAAAGTACTATGAGGGAAGGAAAACTTAATGATTATGATACATTTCAGAAAATTTTGGGAGATTGGATGAGATTTAGACATGACTGGTCATGGCCTTCCAGAAAGAGAAACTGAATCAAGTGGAAGAAAACATTTGGAGGTAGAGCCAAGTTTAGCATAGAGAGTTCAGGTAACTTAAAATAGAGTGATCTTGGGGTAGTGGAGTTGCTCAAGTTACAGTATGCCTGCTTAGCAAGTGTGAGGTCCTGAGTTCAAACCCCAGTACTGCCAAAAAGAAAGAAATTCAAAAAACAAAAGTAGAAAAATAGAGTGGCTAGGTGACTGGATCAAGTGACCAGCAAGAAGATTCTTGAAAGAGAAGAATAGAAAGAAGATGGAGCCAAATGAAAAAGCTCCCAGGATGCTAGGCCTCAGAGTTATTTAGTAGGCTGTATGTTGGAAGGGAGGCAGGGAGCACAAAAGGTTATTGACATTCATCTCTGGTGATAAGAATCACTGTTCTTTCTCTGGTACTGTGACACACTGGGTGTGTATGGGGAGTCTTTAAAAAGGGAACTTTATGCCTCTTTTAGGTAAATTAAGGGGACAACAGAGAACTCTACTTGCATCTCTTGATTCCCAATTGTTCAAGTAATCCTTATGCCAAAATAGCATATTTAGGGGATATCATAGTCTGTTTTCCTCTATGCAGTGGGGGAATAAGGAAGACCAGATTGGTATCTGCACTCCATGGGATTATGAACAGAATTTTTGTTTGATTTTTGTTTTTAAGACAGAGTCTTGCTATGTAACCTAAACTGGCCTCAACTTGCCATCCTCCTGCCTCAGCCTCCTGAGTGCTAGAATTACAGATGTGCCCAGCGTAAACAGAATTTTAAAAAAAATTTCTCCCTCCATCCTTCTGTCCCTTCCTCCTTCCCTCTTCCTTTCCTTCCTTCATTCCCTCTTTCCTTGCTCCCTTCTGGTTTCCTGCTTCCTATTAGCCCCATAGGCATTTAAGTTTTCTACTACCATTCTACATTTAAGCTTTTGGACTCCTAGGTACAGAATACATTTTTCTTTTGCATATTTTCATTAATAAAACTGTGAAATGTTCCGTGAGAATTCAATTTGGAAGTCAGTCCTCATATCATTTAGAGCTCAAGTCTTCTAGATCAGTGGCTCCCAGTGGCTACTTGAGAACTGGGACTCAAGTTTTCAGCAGGGAACTTTGAAGTATAGGTAGTTGTCTAGACCCCTACCACAAGATACAAGCTCTGTAGTGGGCCTGGCCTTGAGAAACAGATAATCCTTCTCTTTCACACTGCCCAGATGACGTAGGTCAAAACTGATGGCAGCGGTGATTATCAACACTCAGCCCACTGTTCCCCACTGCACCTAAGTCAAAGATTAGAAATCTGTCTTTATGCAATTGTTATAGAAACATGGAGAATACTAATGTTTCCTTGGCTCAAGAGTAGCACAGAGTTTCTGATAAGTATTTTTCCGTTCTAGGAAGTGGTAGTCTAAATTGAGGCTCAACTTAGAACTGTTTTCACGTTGAATAAGGGAAAGTATGGCACTCAAAGGCATTTACTTTTTTTCCTTCAAATTGGTCTTTATACAAAAAAGATTCTTGTTGTGTTTCAGTTCATATACTCATTTTAGAAATGAGGAAACTGAAGTATGGGGAGATAAACTGAGTTGCAGGGTATCGTGGTGTTCCTCAAATTCTGACTTGCTGAGAACGTTGTGCATGGTTTTCCCAGTCTCCAACAGCATCACTGAGGAGGAAGAGATTCATAAACAAACAGTGCTTGTACCTTCCATTCCCAGAAATCTCTTATATATCTAGAATGCTCTCTACATACCTGGGGTGATGTTATGGAAAAAGGATCTAACGACCTGCTTTTGTTAACCCCCATCTTTAAGTCCATTCTTTGTACCTAACATGAGTTTTACCAGATGTACTAGCTGAGATTTTATCTGACTCTTAAGAAAAATGTGTGATTTTAGGAGGTGGGTCAAGAAATCTGGATAATGTAAATATTCAATAATATTCAAAAAGTGCAAGTATAAAGTTTTAGATGCATTGCTTCTGCTGTTAACTTGTGATTGGATAAAGACATCTCTCTGGAATTCTTTCTGGTTATAAAAAGAGGCCATCTTAATTGGCTTGTTTTTGTTTGTGGTTATAAACTATTCCAAACCTTCTGGTTTGAATTGTGGATTATGGATTATTTCATTTCAGTACTTCACAGCCCTCAAATTGAATTTAAAAAAAAAAAAGAGGAGCTGAAGTTTTATTTTAAGCCTTTATAGAGTTTGACTAATGACTATACACAATTCTCTCAGCCTCCTCTGCCTTTGCTAGAAATGTATAAAGTATCTCTTCATTTTTAAGTTTATAGCTCTTAACTTTCTTGAACAGATTTGATGTCCTAAAAAAAAACTATATTCTGGCATTTTGATTGATTAGCAGTGAAGACTCTTCCTTTGCAGTTGTCAACTCAACTTTTCCTTCCAAACATATTAGAGTATGGATCACTGAAGAGGGGGAATGGGAGGAAGCTTTGAACATGAGCTGAAAAGGTCCTTCATTGCAATGTCTGCAGAAGCAGTGACTACTGGGAGAGTTAGCTTGGGGTATTACCAGGATGCAGCATATGGAGGGTGGTTTCCTAAAGTGATTTCCATTTGGCTAACCATTTGATGGCAATCCAGGTACAATGTTTTGAAAGAAGGTAGAATAGGGAAATAGGTGTCAAGGAAATCTGATAGAGACAGAGGCAGACACACAGGTACCTTCTAAGAGTGTTGATTATGAGCCCCTTCCCTTCCCACCAGTGTCACAGAAGTGTGATTTTTCATCTGGAAGAAGATGTCACTTGTCTTCTTGTGGGATGGATTATGCTTTGACATCAAATACTGGCTTTGACATCATTTGACATCCTCTGAATCTAACCCTAGTTTTCTGGAGACAAAGCCTCTGACTTAATTCAAAATTGTTGAGGCCAAAGATGATGTCATGCAGTTTTGAAAAGCTCCAGTTCCTGGAGTACTACCAGGAAAAAAAAATCATCTTCCTTGAATTCAGTCCGCCCTCAAGGTGTCCTGAGAAAGAGACTGTTTCTCAGAGCAGCCCAGGCAACGCTGTGTGCAGGCAAATGCTTCTCTTGAATTCATATTTCCTACCCATTCTTAAGCCATTGGAAGAATTTAAGTCTAAAGAATTTAAGTATTCTGATTGCTGCTTTCTCACCATGTTCCCAAAATAACAGCATTATTTCATCCCTGCAACCTCAAAGGTAGAGAAATAAAGGCTCCAAGAGTCTTGTATTAAAATAATGTATTCCCAAAACATTTTTAAAAATAAAAAAAAGATTTTTAAAAAAGTAATGGACTCTTTTCACCAAATAAAATTGTGGAAGAATGGATCCCTTTTCCACTCATGAGGCTTGTTATCTTAGCCAGGACTTGGGGTACAGAGAGTTAGTTTCAGCTACCTTTAAAACATCACTTAGGTTTAAAAGTTTGGTTTGAAAACTTTATGAGCATAACAGATATAGAGTGTGTTTCACAGAGTTCCTTAGATGGTACCTACACTAAGGAAAGAAGTAACTTCCAAGTATCTTCAAAATAAGATTAAGGGTCACATGCATTCTGATTGTTTTTATTTCATTTGGATATGATCTGCTCAGGGGCTTTTTTTATCCTGTTTTGTAATTAATTGTGTAGAGTTGTACTTCCTACACAATAATGAACCCTAAAGACAGAAAAATTTCCTTTCTTTTCCTAGTAGCTCCCAATCTCCACCCTATCCCCTCCTGTTTCCATGCCTCTCTGTCCGCAGCATCATGCCCTAATATAGTAAGCAGCAGTAGATAGTGATGTCATGAATCCTTGTCATCCAAGTGAGGATCTTGAAGAAGTGACAGGAGAAACACAATCCAAGATAAATAACTGCTTGGATGGATTTGGCCATTTTCTTTCAGAAATGAAAAGCTAGAATTTCTTTGTACCCTTAAAACCTAATAGAATAGAAAACCAGGTTATGGGCCAGATGTAGTGACTCATGCCTGTAATACCAGCTACCTGGAAGGTAGAGGTCAAGAGGATTGCAGTTTGAGGCCATCCTGAGCAAAAAGTGAGACAGAGGTGTGGTGGTATGTGCCTGTTATCCAAGATCTGAGGAGGTTTAGGTAGGAGTTCAGGTCTGAGGCTGGCCTGGGCAAAAAATACAAGACCCAACATGGAAAGCAGCTAAAAGAAAAAGGGATGGGAGAGCTTACCAATATTGCCTGATACTGGCTTTTGGCCACCATAGCTTCAAACCTAGTGTTAAGTTGATTTGCTTCCCTTTTGGTAATGCATTATTCTCTCTTAAAACATGTCTGTCATTCCTGTGATAGCAGGTGTTCCATAGAGCATTCTCTTGTCAGGAAGTAGGTTGTGGGAGGGAGACTAGGTCAGTTATCACACATTTAGTGTCCCTATCAGCAGTAGTCTCTCTTACCTATCACCTTTTTCATACTCTATGCTATGTCCACTTACTGATTTTGGGTATCCTCCAATAGAATGTGTCATCTTGAGTCTGTTTTTCATTGTTGCATTCTAGTCATTGGGACAGTACCTAACAAGTGAGAGAAGGCCCACAGACTTTTGGTGAATGAATGGATGAGCAAGTGGATGGTCTAACTGGGACTTTTCTGGGTCTCGGTAGTGAACATAATGCAAGTCCTCTGTTCTAACTGGAGAAACAAGTAGACAGTGAACCATAGTTTACTTCAGACAAGAGTAAAATCTGAGAGCATAATAATACTTAGAGTTGTCCTGTCCTCTTACGTGCATTTCTTGAGAAGTCATATCAAAAGCCTAGAATCCCACAATCATCTGCCTCATTCAAAGGAAAGTTCCCCCAAGAGAATTGTGTTATCACCTTGCTATAAGCATGGGCTTTCTTCATGTTGTTCTGATTTGTAGGCTGCTTTGATGCAGTCTATGTTTTTGGTACCCTAAGACTGGGTCTTATCACTCAGCTGATATGTGTACTTGGGCAAATTACACAACCTTTCTGAGGCTCACTTCCTTTATGTATGGATGAAACCCCAAAAATCTGTCTCACAGACTATGGGAAAATTAAATGGAAGTGCAAATCCTTTAAGAGATATAAAATATGGTGTACACAAGAGTCACAAAATGAGAAGACCAATGGTTTCTTTTGAAGGGATTTCAAGGACACATCCTGGCTGTTCCCTGGCCCTTCTGTGTTCCTCTCACCTCATTTGACTGGGGCAAAAAGGGAGGTATGTTTCAAGGGCCTCAGTACTGAGGACTTTTGAGGAAAAACATACATACTTAGGAAGGGATCACATTTCTTCTCCCTTGGTAGACAGCCCTAGAAGAGATCAGCCCAAGATTGATGGAGGTTTATTTAAATATATATCTATTATTTATAAATATAGACTAATTGGCAAAATATGTACTTTGAAAAGGGTTTCAAACCAGTTATTGGAATCTAAGCCAAAACTATAAATATGGAAGATTTCATTTTTGGTTATCTCTGCTCTTAGATGGAAGTGATGGTTCTAATGACATCTATTGAAACCAATTGGTTCAAGAATGTTTCATGGGAAATTGAACTTAACATTGTCTCAAGGTCCTACATGGGCCTGTTGAGCAGGGTTTATGGAAATGAAATGGAAATGGTCCATTTACCCTATGATATTTCACCACCCATCTCTTCCTTAGATTATAATTACAAAGCCCCATCCATTGCAAGTTGAGATTGTATCATGCCTCCTCCCCAATGCCGCCTGTGGCCCCCTTTGTGTACTCCTCCTGCCCTCATTGTATTAAATGCACTGGCATCTTTGCCACACCTTGTCCCCCACACATTCCCGTAACAGTTTTCCTGTAACCCTATTTAGAAATGTGCACAAAGAGTTTAGCACTTGTCTTGCCTTCCTAGTTTCAAGGAAACCCTAGACTTGCTCAGATGTAGTAAATGATATGGTTTCCCCCAAATAATCAATTGCCAGATCTTCCATCTGTTATTTTCCAAAATCTTAATCTAGGTACAGAAATGAAATTTAAGAAAAAATAAAACAAGACCATAGCGTGCAGTTCAGTATATTACAAGCTGTTGATTTTTACTCACCCAATTCAATATCATTCATTATGAATATGTTAACTTTAGATTACATTGGTTTTCATGGAATTTGATCAATACCTCACTTTCCTGACCTAAGTGAATAAAAATAAACAGCTTGTGACATACAGTTTCAGAGACTGGTTTTATTTTAGTGGTTAGAGGAGCTGGCATAAAAATGTAGCCTGAGATGACTATAAATTCCTCAATTTGATTATTTTTGTTAACTTATGTGGTAATTTTATTTATTTATTTTTAAAGTAGATAACTCTTTACCTGGTTCAAAAATCAGAAGATACAAAAGCATGTTTAGTGAACAATCCTTTCTTTAACCTATGTACCTCACCACTCACCACCAGCCTCAGGCAGCCAGTGTTAATTGTGATTGATTTAAGCTAGTGATCTAAGAAGTAGTTGAGCTGAAATGTGGTTTTATTTTTGCTGTGCTTTATCACATCACATAAAGGAACAAGTTTGGGATGATGGGGGCAAATAGCTACATGAATAGCCAGGGAGATGTCGCAAAGGGTGACACAATATAGAGCCAAAAGTTAGATTCCATTTTTACTGTAAAGTGAGATCTTACTATAAAACTATAAGTCTCCCCTTATACACATTTGGACTTCTCTGTTTCTGGATTTCCAGAACAGACTGTTCCCTTCTGACTGTTGCATATGTATCAAAGCCTAACACTGTGAATCTCTCATGATTGAATTTCTCATTGCCATTTTTTCAGATAACAGCCCGTCGTCAATGGAAACATATTTATGATGAATTAGGGGGTAATCCTGGGAGCACCAGCGCTGCCACCTGTACCCGCAGACACTATGAAAGGTAAGAAACCACTTTGGAAAGCCTTTGCTTAATTAAAAAGCATGTTAATTAGAAAAAGCTTCTGATCAAAGACAAGGCAGCAGAGGTCTAAAGGACCTTTTAGAAAACAGAAAATATCCCTCTAGCATTATCTCTTTGCAACTATCCCTTTGCATAATGCCTTGTGATTTTTAGGCAACGTGGCCTTTTCTGGTTACGGAGACTAAAGTCAGATAGATGTTCTTTTAGTTAGGTTTTATACTTTGACCACCTGTCTGACAATGGCCACCCACTTCCATAAGCTTAGATTGCTCAGGATTTATTTACCATGAGATCTTTCAGCTTCTGGAAAACAAAGATCTACAATGTTACTATGAAGTTGCCACATAACTGTATTAACATTGAAAAGTAAGCATTTCATACAATAACAGCACTGACCCAGATAAAGTCTGGGTTTTTTTTTTTTTTCCTATCTTGGTATTTTTCTCTCTTACATCTATGTGTTTGGCCCAGGAAATCTTCTTGAGCCACACTCTGTGTTGTTTAGTTTTCTAACAATTTCTGCCTACTTCAGAAAAATGATGAGGATACAACCAAGAAGGAATGCAAAAGTAGCCTCCTATGAAAGTCTTAATCACAAGAGTCTTTCCCTTTGCATTAGGACCTTATTACATACACCACTGAAAATGGATTAGCAAATTCATTTGTTATCCTCGCTCTATGCTTCAAGCCCATATTTAATTTATACCAGAGCTTGGGAGATCAAGCAGAAGTGTGTGTGTGTGAACAGTGGCCACACAGAATGAAGTCAAGACACAGCTAGTTAACTGAACAAACAGACCAGTTCTTTTGGTAGTTTGGAAAGTAAAATGCAATTATAAATTTACTGGTTGTTCTTCTTATAGTTAGTTGCCATTCATTCCAGCTTCAGTCTAGACCCATGACACCTGTTTTTGAGTCACATAAGTGCACGTTCAGGTTATGCCACATACCACACCAGTTCGTAGTCATTTTTCAATGGAGCTTTCATCTATCCTGCATTTAAACTAGAGCCCCAAAAGAATATGGTGATTCAGCAAAAATTAGAATGCTTTTGTAAGAATAATTGGAGTAAACTGAGTTGGGTTTACTATCTCATGAAAAATTCCCACAGAGAATTCCCCAAGAGATTGCCTTGGCAGTGATATGATCCAGAAGGATTTTTAAAAGGTAGCATGGTTTTTATATAGTACATCAATTATTTTTCGTGTGACTGCTATTTCACTCAGTATTTAATACAAAAGCCCACACATTCTTACTGTATGTAAAAGATACACTGCTGACGTCCTTGTACAATGTCTCCTCAGGTGAGTGTTCTCTAAATACCATCTGAGGATACCAAAGTTGTCTTGTTTTTTGATTTATAAGTCAAAGATTTAAATCAAAACATTTTCATTGGAAATAATGTCTCCACTTTCAAGTTGCTTCAATTTTGAGAGTGAATGTCCCTTTCTTCTATGTGCAAATGTTCTCAAAATCTGAGCTACCAAACTTAAAGGACACACAGCAAATAAAATTTGATAAAGGAATGTATCTCAGCTACTAGCTAGCTCACCTAGTTGAAAAGTGAACATGTTAATCAAATGAATTTTTACAAAGCATTCAAGGGTCAAAAAAATAAAGAGAAAGGCTGGAGGTGTGGCTCAAGTGGTAGAATGTGAGGCCCCAAGTTCAAGACCAGGCACCACCAAAAACAAACAACAAGCAAAAATACCAGACAAGGTTTGAGATGGAGAGGATTGAAATAAATAGTACGATGTGTGCGTGCGTGCGTGTGTGTGTGTGTGTGTGTACATGTATGTTTAATTTACTCAAGAAGTTTTGGGAACAAAAACAGTCTCAATCTTAAATGAAACGCCAACATACATCTTTTGAAGATGGTGTTCCCTGTTTTGTGATCTAACTCTTCCTGGAGTAGCAAATTCCCAGAAGCTTCTTTTCAGTCAAAATGGAAAAATCTAGTAGAGATACCACAAGCTTTAGCAACTACAAAGCATTATTAAATGGTTTTTTTTTTTTAAACTTCTCTTCCAAATTCTCAGAATAAGACTAAATATTTCACAAAGATTTGGTTCTTCTATTGAATTAAAAATTTTGAAGAACCATGTTATTTTTCCAAATCTAGAATTTGTTTAGTCAGTGTATCAGTCAGGGTGCAGTGAGGAAAATGGAAAGCACACTAGGTATTCAGCAAAGAGAATTTATTATAGGGAACTGCCAAGCAAGTGTTGTGTGAAACACTGAGTCAACACAGGTAAGTCAACTACATGCTCCCTCAGGCTGAGAATAGAAAGAAAGTTGGGATTGAGAGGGAGCCACCCCAGCAGTGTTGGTCCTTCAGGAGCACAAAGGAGGAGCTCTGGGGAGCTGGGCTCAGAATGAAGAAAGGTTGCTTGCTGGCTGCCGCTAGACCTCAGAGGACAGGATGTACATTGAACTGTTCTGGGATTGTTGAAAAGAAAACTAGAGAGTGGAACCAACTTCTGTAAGGAAAATAGGAAAAAAAGAGGTCCCTTCTCCCTTCCTCCTGTTTTCAGAACCTCATCAGGGAGACAGCTGATAAAAGGGACATGTCATTTAAGAATTCATCTCCTAGCATCACCAAGCAGGATGTATTTGAAGTTGAGACAGTAATAGCCCAGCTGCTACACAGGAACTCCAACATGGAGAGCCCTGCCTTATGTGTAACTCTATCAGCAATTATGGTGCAGAGCCTACAAGGCTTGGGTTAGAGCATTGCTTTCCTAGAGCGATTTGTAAGCCCTTAGCATTTACCCAGCTTTGGTTTTTGTCATCTACTTTTGTCAAGTAGACCACTGTCAACTTGTAATCAGATGCAAAGGGTGCCATGAATACTTAGTAATTAATAATAATTATCTTCCAAAATTTGAGGATCACTTATTTTTTTTAATCAGACTATAATTAAAATAATGCTACTTTCTCTTGAGCCAATCATAGTCTTTTAAGGAATTACCCATAATCTCATGTGTTATGATGGGGATAAGAGCTTGGGAGTCACTGCTGTGGACATCTTCTCTTTAAATGGTTCCACCAGAGAAGGGCAGAGGACACTCAGATCTGTCCAGGGACTTTGACCAAATAAGAGGCTGAACTTTTTAATAAAACCACACAATATGGTGAATTTCATGCTAGTCACCACCTTCACAAACACAGATAAAATAGAGAAGACAAGATTGGTGAAGGGCTGTCATTTTCAAGAAGACTCAAGGAATTGAGAAGAGTCAGGACTTTGTGGACAAATATCTGATCTGGAAGTGCCCAGATCAGAATCATTGGAATCCCTCCTTGGCTCCTGGCTCATCTGGGTTCTCCTTTTTACTCTGATTTAGAGACTTGCTCCTTTTCCTAGTTCCCTCCCTCCAGCTTTGCTTTCCTAGAAGATGAAAAAGAAATGAGCGATCCACAATGCATTATCCACTGATGTATTTTTTATCCAGTGTGGTTCAGGATTCCAGTAAACGTTTTCATTTTACTACATGAAAAAAAAAAAAAGCCAGATCCTTAGTTAATGTTACTTGTATATTAGTTGGGCACTCTGGGTTTATTAATGAGTGTAATAATGAAAGTGTGGACTCTTGAAAAGAATCAATGGATGTTTTTATTTAAGGCATAGCAGAAATGGTACAATGCCTGTGAATGCATCTTTGTCGCTGAAGGCCTGACTCGTCCAAACTTGCTTCTGATTGGTTTAAATCAAATAGGTCCAAGCACTTCATAAAAATGTCTTTGTCAGCCTGGTTTTGCTTCCAAACCTATTCATCTCTGTCAGTTTTTAATATTAGTACTAGGCTCCTGGCCATAGTCCATTAGTACTGTACTTAATTGCTCATGTTACAGATGATTACCAATATAAAAAGCACTAATGCTTTCCCATCGCAAGGCTGTTGCTACATACATGTCTCAAACTCAGCAAAGCTTATGAAATGTGGTTATTCTGGACATTTTTTGCTCAAGATTTGTAGGTAAAGTTACTGTAGACTATGATGCAAAGAAAACTGCCCATCTCCCCCTGGCAAAGGACCCTTTTAAGTGGAACATTTTCTTTCTTGCCCAACTCTTTACTTAAGGTGCCCCAAATCACTTTCTTTTATCAGTAAAGGAACAAAAAGGAAAATGGCTACTTTTATGGAATTTTCTTAGCTTGATTTTCTGAAATAGTAATTCACTTTCAAGGCTTTGTTTTCACATGCAGATTTCATCTCTTTTTCTATAAAAAAATGTTTTTGAAGCACAAGAAGGAGGGAAAATCTTTATACAGAATACCAGATTACTGGTTTTAATTTTCCTGAATAAATTACATGGTCTGTTTCTGTGGAGCACATGAAGTTGTTATTAAGGATTTTAAAAGGAGTATTAAGGCAAAAGTACTTTGTGATGTGCCTTTCTGAGCATTTAAGAAATCAAAATCATAAACAAATGTATTTGTTTGTGAGGGAAATGAGCAATTATGCTTCATCTTCTTGCATACGTAATACCTAATTTCAAATTCTAACCTTCTGGTTTTCCCATAAGCATTCCTTGGACAAGGCTGTCACACTGTGTCGCTTCCTTCACAGTGACTTAGGGTGAGCCATACCCAAGCCAGATGCACTTGGACAGAAACTAAGTGACAGACAGCTGAAGGGTCAGCTTTTTTTTTTTTTCTAAAGGTGGTAGGCAAGGTGGGGGAAGCTTCATGTTCCAAGTAAGATAAGTATGTGCTTAAAATAAAGACCAAAAATCTCTCAGGTTCTAAGGAACTCAGCTAATCATACCATAGCAAAAGGCCAAGGAAAGTCAAGGTGAGTTATAGTTCTGTTCGTGTCCAGGACATGATTCCATGTAGTCTTGTTCATTTTGACACTCTTGAAGTTAATCAATACACAATGAGAAAGTCACAGGCAGGATCCCGGAATTTTATATTTCAGAGGTTCCTTAGCACCCCTCTTATACCAGTGTTACCCAAATGAGGTTTCCTGACC